GGATTGACCGCTACATTATAACGCTCCCACGGCTGAAAGGGCGAGCATGTTTGATGTGACGTGGACCCTCATATGGCAAGTCGAGCGCCTAACCACCTGGCCATGCCGGGCCCTTCCTGAAGGAGGGAAAAAGAAATTTAATATTCTGCTCCCCTCCCTGCTTTCCCATTGGCTACCCGCGGCAGATTCAACAAGGAGGAACATAAGAAAGGCGGTATTATATATTTACAGTGACCTTATCAAGTGAATTAGTCAGTAGAATTATTCATATTTTCAGCTCCTCTAATATGTCGCCCTAGTCGGTTGCCTACCCGATAATAACAGCTCGTACACACACAGGTGACGAGCGAAAGGTCATAGCAAAGCTGTGGATAACCTTGATCACTCATAACCGATTTCCATAGAGTATATACACACGATACTGGAATACATTTCACTAAAAATACAGAGTACAAATTTTTAACAATTAATTCAATATACGAGAGATCGAAGCTAATTTTACAATATTCATAGTTCCAAACATCCTGTGTAGATGGGGTTGTCTAAAGAAGCACGTGATCAGAACGTAAAAGGAAGTAAAGATTGGAGTCCAGCGAGCTTTCAAATTGTAGCAAAAAAAAGTAAAATAATCATAATAAATACGATTTTCTGGTATTCTGGGTAATTAGTTATGTACGGAGAAAGTGTTAAGTATCATTTTAATAACTAAATCTTCCTGACGTGAGGTTAGACAGCGTGTATACGAGTCATCCATGTACAACGTGGCAATGATTACTGATATTTTTTTTTAGTGCGCATGGTGACACACATGGTTGACATTGTTTGGGGCTAGTTGCTACATAGTATAACAGCATTCCCCAACCTTATTGCCCAGTTGTAATAACTACCCCCACGAGTTTTTAATGCAACATTCTCTGTATTTCCAGACTTCCATCATGACTAAAACATTTTTGTTGAATTTTGTGAAAAGCTACTTGAGGGCTAACTGCACTAATCGTCCTCAATTTTGAAGTGGTAGACTACAGGGAAAGTAACTAGTCCACACCACCCACCGCTAACTACTTACCAACGAATAGTGCGATTGATTGTCACGTTATAACGACCCAACGGCTGAAAGAGCGTGTACGACAACGGGTTTTGATCCCATAACCCAGCAGGATGTGAATCGAGTGCCCTAACCGTAAGGTTTTGCCAGACAGACTAGAACGTATAAGATGAAAAACAAACAGTTTGGATAGATGGGTTTCTCTATGGGAGAAGA